AATCTGTGTTCTTTGGAGAAACAAGAAGTCCTCTTAACAACTGATCTACATGGTGCCTCTCCCATTTTATGGTCTTCTTATAAGTGAGAAGATTTTCCACAAAATCAATGGAATATTTACATCTCACAGGCCTAATATCTTGTTTCTTCACCCATCACAATTAAGATTTGTTTGTTAGATAGGGTTTCTATTCCTATGAAGATGCAAAATGACTTCAGCAACAACTATAAAGAATTATATTTAAAGGGTGGTTAGTTTATACTTCAGAGGGTTATCCCATTATCCTTATGGTGACATGAAAAGTAGCAAGCAGACAGATAAAATACTGAATCTGTGAGTCCTCACATCTTTATGCAATAGCAATAGAATGTGGTCTGAATCACTGGAGTAACTTGATCATTTGTGGAATCACAAAGCCCACCCCAACAATGTCATACTTCCTCCAACAAAGCCAATCCTACTCCATCAAAGTCATACCACTTAATATTACCCCTTCATTTGTTGGTCATTTTGTTTCAAACCACCAAAATTTGGTATCAGATAATAATAATTAGTTAGAAAGCAATTCAAGTACTATGCAAGAGAAACCTCCTTTCAAGTTATTGGTCAGGGTAATCCATGAGATTTCCAAAACCGTAAAAGCTAATGTTGCCCTCAATTGTCTCAGAATTTGAAAATTCAACTCTTTTGCTAAAGTCTCGATGTACTTCACACATAGAAATTGGAGAAATTGAACTGAACATGACCTGGAACCTCTTTTCTGAAAAGTGGTTTCAAAAGTGAAAAGCTTCAAAGGGAAAGGATCAATCACTAGACCTATCCAGATGTATTGTCTGGGAGCCACAACAATAACTGGACTAGCAAGACATTCACAATGGTGAAATAGTGGAACTTTCATCTTGGGGTTTCAAGGGCTGTCTAATTGGACTTAAAGCACATTCACCAAAAGGTAAGCCATGTCTGGTACAGAATATATAGACAAGCAGTTAGGCATAGATCCAAGAGGTGAACCTGCCACTGCCAGTTTAACTAACCAGCATACTTTCTAGCTGTTTTCTAAATACCTATATTTACACACACAGGTAAATATAGTTCTCACCCCTCATCAAAGAAGCTTCTTTTTGCAATATATGGAGACTTTCACAAAGTTCCACAAATAATTCACTGTAAAGTACCCAACTCCAGTTGACACATCTGCAATGAATATAGGGAAAGGGGGCTGGTTAAAGTAACGCAACCTGAACCTGGAGCCCAGAATCAGGGAAAGAAGCACAGTCTTGATCTGGGAACTGAGCCAGAGAAAGGAAAATTATCCCCAGACCCAGAACCTAACAAACAAGCCCTGACTCTGAAACCAATACCAAAGAAACACTCTTGGTCCCTAGAATCAGAGTCAGTCAAAGAAATATGCCCTAGCCTTAGAATTAGTGTCAAAAAGCCAAGAAAGGCCAGTAAAAGAAACACAGTTTGGTTCTGAGATCAAGGCAAACTCTGCACCTAACCCACAGAACTAACCAATCTATGAGCAGAGGAAAAAAACTAACCAATATTTGGTTGACTCCACCCCCAAGATATTCTATATAATGCACCCTGCATGTTCAATTGGGGGCTATTCTCTAAACCTGGTAGAGGCAGCCACTCTCCTGGACTCCTCCTTCCCATATAAATTTCTTTCTCAAAAGAGTTTTGGGTGTGGATATCATAATTCACCCTTTCATGCTGAGCTGTCCTAGAAGCTCCAGGCCTGACTCTCCTGAGCAGTCAGAATACCTTCCCTTCCAGGGCTGAGCTGTCTCATTGCAGATCCAGCCATCAGAGCTGTCCTAGCAGCTCAAGATATCTGGGAGACCTTCCCCTCCAGGGATGATCTGTCCTAAGCCAGTCAAGGTATTTGGGATACCCCCAAGGCTGAGCTGTCCTGTCAGCTTGAGGTGTCCTAGATACCTCACTCTCTAGGGCTGAGCTTTCTCATTGCAGCTCCTGCTGTCAGGGCTGTCCTGGTTGTCATCTGACCCTCCAAATAGTTAAGATACCTTTCACCCCAAGTTGCAAAATTTATAATTTGGTGCCAAATTCTGGGACCAAAACCACAGAGTTGCAAAAGTTACTTACATTTTGGTGCCCAAAACCAGGACCAAACTCACAGAGTTTCAAAACTTTTTTCCATTGATTTTTTTTTCCTTAGGGTTTTTGAAAACCCCGGGGCTTGGGGTTTTTTTTTGTTGGGTTTTTTCTTCCGGCCTTGCCGGGGCATACACCTTTGAACACTCACCAGTATATTTATACAAATGAACCACCATAATGGCACAGTTTTTACCCAAATAATGATAGGGGAAATTTTACATTGTCTTATCCATAGAGGAAAAAACAAACACAACAAAACAGGTCAATGAAGGTATTATCAACTGCCTCAGGAGGGGAAATCCCATATTGGTTATTCAGTTCCTAGTGCTCATCTAAGGATATATTCACATACAAAGAGAATTAAATGGACTCTGTATGGTATGTAAATGTGTGATCATATCAACATAGCAGTGAAAATGAAAGAAGGGATCATGAATATGGGAAAGAGAGGAAGGCAATGGAGGGGAAAATGAGGCTGAGGTGTAGTACATGACAACTTTTTTCAGGGCAACATTTTTTATGGCCTTTGTAAATTTTTTGCACATTTGAAACCATTGGGAATGCTTAATTGTATTAGAAAATATTTTAACTAAGCCTTATTTCAATCTCTAAGTACTTGTTATTGAGTTTCTGGTTTGGGGTCATGACGTCAGGCTCACAATTTTCTAGACCAATCTCTGAATAAGTTCACAGTTGCTTAATACAGCAACCTTTGACTGGTTTCTGCAAATGGTATTTCTTCCTATCAGCAGAACATTTCTGTACAATCTTTGGGATGTTAATGATTTTTTTCCTGCACTATAAATTTTACCTCTCAGCATTTGCTTTAAGCTGAAAAGGGGATCAATGCTGGAATTCTCACAGCACCAAAGAAAAAGTTTTTTGGGATGTCAGCCTACTTTTGGTTTGAGGGAATACCTTTCTCTGCTATATTGTATAAAAAAGAAATTATTGAAGAAAGCCTTGATAAGTTTGTGATCAGAGATGAAGACTCGGTCATAGTGAGTTATCCTAAATCAGGTAAGGAACATCATTGAGGATGATCCTGAACTGTCTGTGGAGGTTTTGGGCTTTAATCATCCATCATTTAGGTGGTGAATGGAATGATTTGTATATCTCATGTGTTCAATGGTTTGTGGGTTGGAGAGCTGTATCTGAGAGCATTTTCACTCAGAGGAAGAACTCTAACCTAAGCAAAGTTATCAGTGGAGCAGCTTAGGCACTAGGAGTGCCTGAGCTGATCCTTGGGGCAATGACAGTGTTTCCTAAAGCATATGGTGGCATTTGTTTCTCTCTGGGTGGAAGAGATAATGATGCAAATAAACAGATAAAAGAGCATCAAGGAAAAAGTTATGAATGTTAAGAATATGTGGAGGAGAGGACAGTCAGGTAGAAGAATTACCATGGACCTTCCTCAAGTCGAGGAAAGAGTTTCAAAACTCAAGGAAGCAAGAAAGACATCATGTTCATTTGGGGGAGGAGTGTGGTGGGTGGCAGAAGCAGTAAATATTGGTTAAGTATTAGGTTGCTAACATCAAAGGGCAATAACATGGAAAATCTAAGGAAAGTGGACTGCAGGAAAAGGATTCAGATAATAGCTCAGAAGAATAATGCTAGGGAAACACTGACAAATGAACATATAATCACAAATACATTTGTGTATGGTAAATAGACCATGGAATTTATTTAAGCTAAAGAGAAGCAGTACTAATACATACAGTGCAGGATGGATGCATATTAATGACACTGTATTAAATAAAATGTTCCAATATCAAGGACAGATACCATGACTGCATCCCTGACAAATATCTGGAATAGTTGAATTCACTGAAACAGAATGGTTCTTGACTGGAGGCAATGTTCAATAAGCAGGTGGGGTTTACTGAGCAAAGATTCTCAGTTTTGTTAGGTGAAGCATTTTGAATCTTCTGGAAGAATATATTTTGTACTTACATGATGTGGATATTGCAAATACCACATGCTTTTTTGCTTGGAAACAACTACATTGTAAATTTTATGCTTGTATATTCTATTTAAGGCTTTTCAGAAGTTCTCTTGAAATGAGTGACAATAACTTTTCTTTCTTGTTCAGGAACTAACTGGCTGATTGAGACTATCTGCTTAATTCAGACCAAGGGAAATCCCAAATGGATCCAATCTGTGCCTATCTGGGATCGCTCGCCCTGGATAGAGACTAAAAGGGGATTTCCAATATTGATCAATAAGGAAGGACCACGCCTCATGTCTTCCCACCTCCCTTTCCATCTTTTCCCCAAGTCTTTCTTCAGATCCAAGGCCAAGGTCAGTGTCCAGTGGTTGAGAAATCTTTGGTCAAATGCTCATTGAACTTACTCTACTACATTGGGCCCTGGACCTCTACTTGAAATGCATTCTGTGTAGATCTGGAGAGGGAAGCTGGGATTCTCATGCACTAGGTGATGCTAATCTGTCCCCTCCTCGGACTATATCAGAGTACCAGCATATCAACCACCTCTCAGTGATCCTGGGCAGATATAATGAAAAAAAAAACCTGTGTTATCACAGTAGGGCATTCAGGGACTACACATACAGAACAAGTAGAGCTCAAACTCTAGTGTACAATGGATATTACTGTTTTGTTGTCATCAAAGTCATTTAGCTAAAATTGATTCTACATATAGTTGAAACCTAATGGGTGAATCACCCAAGCAGAGTTGCTCATAGGGGAAGCAGCCTGAACAGGCACAAATGCTGTAATGTTCAACAACCATGGCTTATCTGTATCCATTGTGTCTTTCTGTGTCTAGCTGTCCATTAAGACCAGTAGCCACAAAAATCACCGACATCACTGATAGGGGATCTCCTAAAGGAATCAGAAATAACCAGGTTCTGATACATTGTTGCTTATTGTTAATAAGAAGGTTTTGTAGAAGTCCCCACACCCAAGAAACTACAAGTATTTATGCTTAAAATACAAAGACAAATGTAGAAAATAATCTCTCTTGAATCTATCACAATGAAGTTGTGATTATAAAGCTATATTTATGTGTCTTATGTAGATTTAGAAAACTTGTATCTGGAGAAATTAAGGCCTAAAAGATGAATTATATAGTAATGTCACAAGTTTTGGGACAAAATATTAATTTCATTTCATTAATTTTTTGAAATTATTTCTTCTGTTTTTGAGATTACACTATAATTACATACATTATTCCCCCTTCCTCTTCCTATCTCCTGGCTTACCATCATACCCCTCTTTTTTGTCTTTCAAATTTGTGTTTTTTCATTATTTGTTGTTACATCTGTATATGTATCTACATAGTCCTAAGTACCTTGGTACAATCTGTTCAATATGTACAATGTTACTTGTATTATGTTTTCAGGGCTAAGAACTTGGTATTGCATAACCAATTGCTATGCTTTTCCCATCTCAGCATTTTTTAGGTGCTCATGGGTCTTTGTGTTCACCATTTTGCAATGAAATATTAGCATTAAAGTCTGCATAATGATTCTTTGAGAGTTTTCTTTATAGTTACAGTTACAGAAACCAATTAGTTTGTCATTTTAAAGATAAATTTAGTGTAGTATGCATTATTCTGTATATATAAAATATTCTTTCAGAGTGGATGGATAGGCAGGCTTTCACCCTGTAAAATATTGATCTTTACAAGTATTTAATCATTCTTGTCTTTTTATTGTTGCTGTTGGTTTTATTACAGTATTACTGAACTCAGCCATTTTGATGTTACATTTTTGTAAATCAAATGAAATTATAAAAGAAGATTTTGATAAATATAGACATTTTGCACTTCTGTTTATATTTTGTTCAAATAAAAATAATAAATACTTTTGGAAACCTCATTGATATTTGATTGACTTTTCATATAAACTAAGCCAGATCAAATTGGTTTATGACTATATTGACCTTCATTTACATGTTTTTTCATTTAAGGTGATCTATGTCATCAGAAATCCCAGAGATATTCTTGTGTCTGGCTATTTTTTCCTGCGTAACACAAACCTTATTGATAATCCAGAGTCACTAGGAACTTACCTTGAATGGTTCCTCAAAGGAAATGGTGAGTGTCCGGCTAAATATAGGGGTTGAGGGAGGCTCAGTTACATTTATAAAGACAAGATGAGATACAGATTAGGCTGGCCATGAATTCTCTATGCAGATAGGGATTACCTGGAAGATCTGCTCCTCCTCCCTGTACTTCATGAGTTCTAAGACTATAAGCACTCACTTCAATATTCTGTTTATTTAATCATAGGATTCAACCCCCAAGTCATTTATGTTATCTAACTTGGTTACAACTCAAGCCTTTAGTATATTCTATAATTTTCTCTTGGCTCCATCTTATTCCTCTATACTCTATCAACCTGTTGACCCAAGGATCATTACCATCACAAACCTAATTGTGAAGTCTTCCAGTTCTCACAAGCCACTGCATAATGGCACAGCTACAGCTTGACCTATGACTAACCATCCTGGCAATATTTGGAGTATCTAGTCTTTCTAGTACTAATGAAGATGTTATACCTTGTGGTTAACAGAGCAACAGTGATAACAACAACACTAGGACCTATTTCCTTCTCATCATGAATATTTGAACATGCTGACTCTATCAGATGTGGAGTCTTATCAATCAGAAAATGATTGGTTACTCTGATACCACAATTGTAGTTATTGCACCAGTGGGTGTGTGTTGTATGGATGGTTGAAGTATAAATATCAGTGTCCATAGTTGAGTAATATTATTGACAAGAATATCCCACTAGAATCCTACATAAACCTTTTGTTACAATGAGGGCTATTCAGCAGAAAGGCATATTTCAGCTCATTCCCAGTTTTCTTTCCTTATGTTGTGTGACAAGACTATGAGATTGGCCTTAGGAATAGGATCTTAGCCGAACAGTGGTGGTGCACATCTTTAATCCCAGCACTCATGAGGCAGAGCCAGGTGGGTCTCTGTGAGTTCAAGGCCAGCCTGGTCTACAGAGCAAGATCCAGGACAGGCACCAAAATTACACAGAGAAACCCTGTCTCCAAAGCCAAAAAAGAAAAAAAAAAGAAAGGAATAGGTCTTACCAACCAGTTTTGTGGGCAATTGACAATAGTGACAATTGCCTACATTATTCGAATCCCCAGGCCCATTTTAGTCAACAATTCCTAGGGTTTCCAATAATAGCAATACAGCTTTCATTTTATAACAAATAACTTTTGGGAAAATTAGTATCTGCTCATAAAAGCTGCCTTGATTTAAACTCTTTAATAAATTTTTAAATGAGCTTACAAACTAATGGCATTTTCATATATTCTTTGTTTTGGTTAATTCTTCTTCTTTTTTTTTTTTTTTTTTGGTTTTTCGAGACAGGGTTTCTCTGCGCCTTTCCTGGAGCTCACTTGGTAGCCCAGGCTGGCCTTGAACTCACTTGGTTAATTCTATCCCCAATTTACCCACCCCATCTTTGCATAAACACAATCAGTCTCTTATTCCCTTCCTTCATATTGATACCATATGTGCCTTGTGCTTCTCTCTTCTTAAGGTCTCTTTTTTCTTGCTACTATTCTAATGGTTCTTTTCTGCTTTCCTCTCCTTTATATACACATCAAGGTAAACATACTAAGAATTTGTCTAGAATCCAAATATGAGACAAAAGATGCAGTGCTTCTCTATCTGTGCTTGTCTTACCTCCTTAAGTATATTTTCAAGTTCCAACTATTTTACTGTGAATTTTGTAATTTCATCTTTAAAGCTGAATGAAATTGTATGGTGTGTACATATCACAATCTCGTCTATTTTCAGTTGATGGGCATCTAGGCTAAAACTGTTCTGTAGCTGTTGTGAATAGAGCCGCAATTAGCACAAATGTTCAACTACCTATGTAGTTGTGTATATATAAGTCTATAGTAGTATATACTGACATAGTTTGAGTATATACCTAAGATTTGATAGCTGGGTAATATGGAATTTCTGTTTTCAGCTTTTTTAATGCTTCTCACAGTGATTTAAATAATGACTGTGCAGTTTTCAGTCCCAACAGTGTTTTTCTTTCCCCACAATTTTTCCGTAAATTAAAAAAAATAAAAACTAAATTTTATTATAAAGCAACTTGCACAAAAATAAAAACCAGATTCACCAAAATTATTGAGACTCAAAGTCTATACAATTTAATGAATTTATATACAGTTAGAATTGGTATGCAAAAGGGAAGCTGGGAAAATTCATATTAAACATTATACTTTCAATATTGCTTATATTTCACCCAATTTTTGACCACAAAACCCCCAAATCCATGAGAAATTTAGAAAAAGAAAAACATTACCTATATTCTCATTCAACAGTCCATTATTTGCATCTACTCCTTTCACATCCCTTTATATTTAAATTATCTTCTCTTTTCAAACATTTTCAACATGCCCTTCAAACATTTATTTGTGTGTTTTTTTTTCCTTTTTTGTCTTTCTTGTTTCTGAGACACATTTTCTTTATGTTACAACTCTGTCTGGCATTTTTTCTTTTAGAAAATGGTGGCCATTCTGACATAGATAAGATGGACTCCTAAGTAGTTTATAGTTTTTATTTGTATTTCTTTGATAGCTAATGTTGATGAACACTTTCAAAATTCATATGAGTCATTCCCTTTCTTTTATGGTATACTTTTTAGTTCCATACCACAGGTTTTCGTCCATTTCTTTCTCTATGTTGAATATTTTATTATCTTTCATTCTTGTTAGATACTAGATACACATTGTCTGGAAGCATATAACAGGCAAAGCTTTCTTCCATTTTATTAGCTAAATCTTCACATGATTAATGACTTTCTTTGGTTGATAGAAATCTTTTTTTAATTTCAGGGAGTCCCACTTGTTGAGTATTTGCCTTATTTTCTGAGTGAGATGAGTAGCATTTAGATGTCCTTACCTGTGATTACCTCTCAAAGTGCACTTCCTGTATTTTCCTCAACTGTGTCAGAGTTTTCAGAGTTTTGTGTTGAGGAAACTTCTTTTGAGAGTCTTGATACATTTAGAATTGGTGTGAATGTGTGTTTGTGTGTGTGTGTATGTGTGTGTGTGTGTGTTTGTGTGTGTGTGTGTGTGTGATGAAGGATTAAGATTGAAATTCATTCTTCCACACATAGCAATGTAATGTCCAAAATACCATGTACTGAAGATACCATGTTTTCGATATTTTGTCAAAAATACAGTGCCTGCAGTTGTGGAAACTTATGTCTTGGTTTTCTATTCAATTAATCCACATGTTTCTTTGGTGTCAATGCTTTGCTGTTTTCATTACTCTATCTCTATAATATAACTGGAAATAAGGAACTACCTTTTCCCAAGGTTGCTTGACTATCTGGAATTGTTTGTGCTTTTGTATGAATTTATTATTGAATTTGTTCTTTAGAAATTACAAAGATGTATACATTATATTCTGCTTATTGAAACCCTTTTCCCTATCTTATCTCCCTCTCACCTTTAGTAACCCCCATTCCCTACAGTTCTCTTTTATAACTTTCAAATCTATTTACTCGTGGCCCATTCAATTTAACCATGATTTTTATCTTCTGTGGGAATGTGGGGTTTTGACTACCAATGGAAACCTAGTTGGCACCTCACTGGGGACACAACCGAGGATAGTGACTTCCTACCACCCAGAATCATTCAGTATTAATAATTTCATTATGGAGTTGTAGTGTCCAATGAGTATCCACTTCAGTCCATGATACCTCATTTTTGGGCTAGTCTTATGCAGGATCTTTATAGCTGCTCCAATTGCTTTAAGTTCATGAGTACACTTGTTCTGTCATGCCCACATGTCAGCATTTTCCATCCCTTCTCTTTCTTTTTTTCAACTTTTACATTATTTACACTGCCTCTTCTGCAATGATCCCTGAGGATTAGAGACAGTTCTGTAGTGCTGAATTTAAGAATGAACATCCAACCATTCCATAATAATTTGAAGATTATTAATTTTTATTTCTATGAACAACACTAAAATCTAGATTGGTATTGTACTGAGTCTGTTCATTGTTTTGGTAGGATGGACATTTTTATAACATGAATTTCTCTAGTATGTGACCATGGGAACATTTTTCATCTCCTAATATCTGCATAAGATTCTGTCTTCAATGTGTTGAGGTTTTCAGTAATCAGGGCTTTGCCTCCTGGGTGTATTCATTACTTTTCTATTGCTGTGATAAAACACCATGAACAAGGCAATGTATTGAAGGAATGCTTTGTTTGGAACTTATGCTTGCAGAGTGATAAGAGTCAATCATTACCATTACAGGAAGCATGGCCTCAGGGAGACAGGAGGCATGGCATGGGAGTAACACCTGAGATCTCACACCTCAACCCACAAACAGGAGGCAGAAGGAGAGCAGTTGAAACAGTGCTAGTCCTTGAAACCTTAAATCTCACCCCAATGACATATTTCCTCCAGCAAGTTCATGCTTGCTAATCTTCCCATAAAATGCACCATCTGCAAATCAAGTATTCAAATCTGAACATTATATGGGACATTTTAAGAGGCCAGCACAAATGTTTAGAATTATTCTGAGGTATTTTCTTTAGACATTTGTTAACAGACTGATGTTTCTGAATTGTTTCTCAATTTGTT